TGATTGATGTCTGTGTTCATCGAAACGGAACCAATCTTTGTATGTATAACTTGAGTGTTTGACAGTCAGAAGTCGCTTTCTGAACCTAGATGAGTAGTTAACGAAAAACTGTGGTGAAATCCAATAGATTTCCAGACATTAAATTAAAATATCAACTGGGTTTCTTTCTTTCTCCCCCCCCCCCCCAGAACAATGTTATCAACAATGAAGCACTGGTCAAAACAGTTAATCGACACTAACTGTTGAAGGAATCTGTTGGCTCATTTTAAATTAAAAGAATATCTACAATAATCAATACACTCTCCAATGGGAAACTGCGATTAATATATGCAAACAATACAAACAGATTTTGTGCAAATCCTGTATGGGATTCGGTCCAGTGTAATTTTTCATGAGGTCAGTACGACTAACGTGACGTGATGAAAATTAGGTCTAATCGGTACACCCTACAATCGAGACCCTTCTAATCCGGGACCACATTTTTACGAAGTACCAACTTGGCCTACTGTAATAACAGGCGCGTCGCAAGTAATTTTTATTCGTCCGGCCAAATGCGAGGGCAAGAGAAATTGAAGTGGTCAGGTTGCGAGCGAAGCGCGAGTACTGATGATTGGGGATAGGGGGTCGCCAAGGGCCCCAGGTATGGGTTCGGGGTTCCGGGGCCATTAAACTGTAATATTATTGTAAACTATTAAACTGTAATATTATTGCATTAAGCCATTAAACTGTAATATTATTAACTAAGACCAATCAACACATAACATAAAACATGTACATATCAAAATTATTATGTTTAATCTTTCCTCGTCGGTGCTTGCATAAACCGTGTCGCCAAAATGCACGTAATTTACGTTACATAATCATATTTACCAGGAAAAAAATATTACGGTATTATTGCAGCAATACTTCTAGGTAATAGTTAATATTTGCATAGTATAAGATGTTATGAATATTGTATTGTTTATTCGGATAAATAGAATAGTCTTCTATGCAAAATATGGTCCTAAACTTAAAATTTTGATTGTCGCTTTTAAGCAGTGAAACATACGTTACATGATTTCTTCATACACCAGTTCAAGAATTTGAACCAAACTAAACGTGAGTTTAGTTTGTTGTTAAGTACTAATCATGGATACTGCGTCAGTAAATGTAATCATGTTTAATTAGTACAGTAATTGTAATTAGAAAGTTAATGTACGTTACAGTAACCTACGTTACGTTATGGAATATTAATCCATATTAATGAAATATTGAGCAATTGGCATTGAGCAATTGACGTCCAGAACCTCGTGTTTACCAACTTTGTGTTTCCCTCGAATGTTGGTCCTACGCAAGTAACATGTTAAACACGCGGTAACGTATGTTAATTGTTGATATAGCATGTAATAAACATCATTTAATAAAAGCATGGGCAGTGGCTGATATATTTACTTTCGTTTACATATATCCTACCATACATTGACTCTCTATAGGAATGCTATCATTCATGGAAATTATTCCTATTGCATATATTTCTAATTTATTTAACGAGTAGATAGATAGAAAGTAGATATATCAGCCACTGCCCATGCTTTTATTAAATGATGTTTATTATATGCTATATCAACAATAACATACGTTACCGTGTGTTTAACATATGTTACATTTCAAAACGTAGTATTCCTTTCAACTAGGCCTAAGCTATTGCCTGAAAATTTCAATTTAAAATTTAATTAAAAATATCAACTATTTTGTTAACTAAATATAGTCGAGACACAAGCTATAATAAATACTTACCAAATTGCTTCACTTTAATGATGGGCGTAGGAACAATTCAAGGGAAACATAAAGTTGGTAAACACGAGCTTCTGGGTGTCAATATTGCTCAATGCCCTCTATATTTCATTAATATGGATTAATATTCCATAACGTAACGTAAGTTAACGTACTTTCTAATTACAATTACTAATTAAACATGATTACTTAACACAAATAATGATTTACTGACGCTGTATCCATGATTATTACTTAACTACCAGTACTTCTCACGTTTAGTTTGGTTCAAATTCTTGTACTGGTGTATGAAGAAATCAGGTAACGTATGTTTACAAGCACAAATGTACAGTATTATTCATTTAATAAAATAATATTTAATCTGTATACAATAACATTTTATCACTGAGAGAACAGATAATGATGTCAAAGTATTGTATATACATGGAGGCTTCATGATCAAAAGTTCTTGCCAAGATTTGGTATGTTGATCCCCGACGCGGCTGGGCTGCTGGGCCGCGGCTTGGTGCCTGGAATTGTAAATAGGCCGTGAAATAAAAAGTTTGCGGAACGCTGGTTTAGTAGGTTACGATAGAAGTTAAAAGGAGAGGACTTCCATGTTGTGGTCATATTAGACTGTAATAATACCATTAAAAACCATTCAACATAAAACATATCAAAATTATTAGGTTAAACTTACTACGTACTTTAGGGGTAGGCCTATGAAATTTACATAACATTTGAGAATGTAATGAATAGAAAATCTTAAATATTTTACATTTTAATCAGCAATCTATCAGAAATACGGGGATTGGTTATACTGTAAAGCCTTCAGAACCCCTGCAATACTAAAACTGGGATCCAACAGGCAGTGAATATTCCATTTTAATTTAGTGTAGATGTTTTTTACATATTTTTAATTTTATTTGATTTCTTTTTATTTTGTATGATTCATCGGCCTATGTTATATTTTCCACAGACAGAAATGAATGCCTGAACTCATAGGTTTCAGATTACTTTCTATACAAAACAGATATCATAAACCATCTACTGTCCGACTGTGTGCATTGAACATTTGACGACGAAGATAATGTCTCCAAATTCCCAACCGTAACTTGACACTGCACATAAAAGGGCCTGTTAATTAATCTTGCACAGCTTCCTCCTCCTCCTCATCATCATCATCATTTCTTCATCATCATAATTATTAATTGTCCATAGCAAAGTAGGGAAAAACTATGAATTCAAAGTGTATTAAATAATAGACGTCGCATAATGCACGAAGTGTATTTCAAGAAATCTAGAAAACAAAAACTTTTCGAATATCTAAAATTTATCTTCCAGCAACAAAACAAGCTAGCTCTCTTTTCATGACTCTCCCAATATGGGAACCCATCTGTGCGAAAGAGGGTAAACTCTGGATCCGCGCTTGACATGTATTTAATGCTTAAAAAAGGTATATTTACAGTAAATTTAGTTATAGAAAATAATGTTGCATACTAGAACTATCAGGAATAAATATACAGATAAAGGCTCCCGATGGGGCATAGACACAAAAACTGCTTGTAACTCAAATAGCACGCATCATCTGGCACTTTCGCAGCGTGTGCAAACGACGCATTGGCTGTAACAGTGAAGCGGTTTTATCCAAAACTATTTTCTCCATGATAAAACGTCTCTTTGTTATTTTTTTTCCCAATTTCCAGACGGCTTCGCGGCCCTCCAAAAATGTTTCGCGGCCCAAATTTGGGCCGCGAACCATAGTTTGCGGAACGTCGACTGTACAGTACATGAATTTAAAAAAAAAACCAAATTAAATTAAAAACACGCTTGGTTTAGGTGATTTAATGCCGGTTAATACACTACTTGATGCACACTGATGTTACAGTGACCATATTTATTGGTTTATAGTACCAGTAATTCCCACAATTTACAGCATTCATTTTGAAAAGAAGCCCCCCCCCCTCCTCTATACTTTGCAAAAGCAGCCTCGAAAAGAATCCCATTTCTTAAAGAACCTCATCCAAAGTTTGCGAAAAAAAAAAAGCCTATGGCTTCTATTTGAGGTTTTACGTATTATAATATATACACACACACACACCCATCCCCCACACACAT